TTACTGAAGTTTAGATAAAGTCCCCAAGCTTAAACTCTATAACACAGTGCTTTTGTGCACCTTGGTACAAATTATCCCTTTATCCCCACTGTTTTACTATCCAACATGGAACTACAAACTGCTTTTTGGACACCGAATTGTTCTGTCTTCCTCGTTCTCTTTTATTTTTTTACAACTTTTTTAAGATATACTGAAAATTATCTATAAATAATACCTTCAAATATGACCTTTGTTTTTATATTTTTTTATTTCAAAAAAAATATATTTTCTGTCAGACAAAAACGATTCTATCTACCTACAGTGACCTATACTGAGAGACACCCCCTGTGGATGACCTCCGTGGATGACCTCTGTGAGGTTATACATATGGTGAGCTTGTCCAGACTCAAAGATAACAAATGAAGAGATGGACATTCAGTAGATCCTATAGAAGGCTTTAGCGGCTGTCTCCCCTTCACACCTCTCAGACAAGTTACTGATATAAGATCCACACCATGTTAACTGATACAGGCGTACACAAATCTGTCAGGGTCGTGTGTGCAGATTCACCTGGAAGCCATTTATGTTTTGGTGAAGTCCATCTATGACTCTTTAATCCCTTATAAATGTCCTCCAATCTGTCTGTCATTGATACCTGAGGTAGGGACTGAATCCTTGGGGGTCGGGTTTCATGCCACATACATATATAAAAAAAAAATCTCCTTCGTCAACAGTCGCCCCAACCAGCTGCCTCGACAGTTGTCACGGTAATCAAAAATGGCTTCTACATTAAACGATAACCGTGATCTATTTCTATTGACAATCCAAATCTGGGATATCGGTCTCATATTATTTCACATCAATATCACTAGATCAGTCATTTAACGCTTTTAACACCAATTACTTACCAATATTTTTTAGCCATTTACGACTTATCTCAGAACAATCAGTGTGCATGACACATCAGTGGACACCATTTTGATATTTCTAACGCTATCTTCTTTGTCAAATACCGCAATAAATAGCATTCTTGTTAACTGTGTATAAAAGGAAAATACATGTCCGGAAAAAAGATTGATCAAATGAAAAATGTAAGGCCATTTTAATATTTTAGAATCCAAAGAAAGGACAGCTGTGAAGATGAAAGGACCGGAAGGGGAGCCTCAGAAGAAACAAACAAATACAGTCTGGTCTAAAGTCGAATTTATTTTAAAAAGAAGCAAACGGATATCTCCTTTTATTTGAATACAGTTAGGTATAAATCAGTTAATTCAAGAATTTGAAGTAGAAACTATAAATGTCGTCTGTTTCCATCTGTCAAAAGTCAACAAATCCCGTGGATATTGTTGTTTGGTATCCAGTAATGGCATTAGTTTGATACAATCTGGACAATCAACCCATCCATTCATAGGAATTTTTCAACATTTAGATGAAAAATTGAAATAAGAGTCCAAATTTGGTATTTAAAACTATTTTAATGTGGTAAAACACCTCCCCTAGAGGCGAAATGTGAACCGTTCTTTGACTTTGACCTTGGTACATTTATTAAGTCAAATGACCTAAGTCATGTCAGGACAAAAACATACTTCATATATAATGTAAGACTTATAAGATGGAATCTAGCTCTCCAGGATCAAACAGAATTTATTAACAGTGACGACATCAAATCCTCCTGGGGTCTCGCCATCCTGGGCCTTTGATTGTCACGACGATGTGGACGGTCTCCTCTAGTGTACGAAGAGTCAATGGTAGGAGCCAGGAGTACCATCAACCACCCATTACCTATATCTACCTCTAACCTTTTACACTTGGTAAATCCAGTCGAAAGTCTTGTACCTACACGAGTTAGGTAAATACCTTAACATGTCATCTTCATGTAACCTTTCTGGTCTGGAGAGCTGGACTGGGAGCCAAGCACATACCAAAGGTTAGACAAACACCTTAGAGGGGGGTGGTATCACACCGGGGTCCTCCTGGAGGACCTTAACCCCTCCAACAGACCCTTGTTACACGTTTAATACACAGGTATCGATAGATTTATTTGTTACCCATTGGCTTCGTAAACAACTCAGGTATTTCAGATATTCCAACGGGAAGTGCACAAGGAACTTATCAGGTAAACTTAACCAGCTCTCATTAGTTGGGGCTGAAATTATCATAATACTATACACACACATGTACTTCTGGCTAAATGTATTCAAATTATGCAGGTAAACAGTTTATACTGTACAATTAGTATTGATATAATTATACTGTACAATTAGTATTGATATAATTATACTGTACAATTAGTATTGATATAATTATATTGTACAATAAGTATTGATATAATTATACTGTACAATTAGTATTGATATAATTATACTGTACAATTAGTATTGATATAATTATACATTTAATGTCCCTTGTATAGTAGATATATATACCAATTTTGGAGGGAAACTAACAATTTTCCACTCTTACATGACATGCATTTCAGGAGAAATAGACTGACATGACAGGTGAGTATGTTCATGAGGTGGTTGTACAATATAACAAGTGGTATCTTCTACTAGGTACAACAATAGCACAGAATACTGAAGTATATGGTAGCTTCTACTAGGTACAACAATAGCATAGAATACTGAAGCATATGGTAGCGTCTACTAGGTACAACAATAGCACAGAATACTGAAGTATATGGTAGCGTCTACTAGGTATAACAATAGCACAGAATACTGAAGTATGTGGTAGCGTCTACTAGGTACAACAATAGCACACAATACTGAAGTATATGGTAGCGTCTACTAGGTACAACAATAGCACACAATACTGAAGTATATGGTAGCGTCTACTAGGTACAAAAATAGCACAGAATACTGAAGTATATGGTAGTGTCTACTAGGTACAACAATAGCCCAGAATACTGAAGTATATGGTAGCGTCTACTAGGTATAACAATAGCACAGAATACTGAAGTATGTGGTAGCGTCTACTAGGTACAACAATAGCACAGAATACTGAAGTATATGGTAGCGTCTACTAGGCACAGCAATAGCACAGAATACTGAAGTATATGGTAGCGTCTACTAGGTACAGCAATAGCACAGAATACTGAAGTATGTACCATATATTGTTCCATAATAATATGAAAAGGGTCACTCTAAAAGGGTTTCAAACTAGACAGGTTTTCGTTCCATCTCTTGTCAACAGTTCATAATAGAGAAACTCCCAACCAGACTCTCTTAAGGACCCCTGCCCCACGGTTGGTCAAACACTAAAGGATTTCATTGCTTTTTCTTTTTCGATTTTATACTTCATATTATTTTGAATTATTTTCAAAAAGTTCTGCAAGGTATAGTTGCTTTTCAGAAATGATATACCGAAGCTTTTGTCAAGTCAGTCAACATGTTTCCAATTCACCATTACAGTTTTTGGTATGGTATGGGTATCCTTAATTGTGATACCTAGTTGTAATGTAAGATAACCAGCCAGAACCCTTTCAGCTGTAATGCTGAATTCAGAATGAGAGACTCTGTTAATTATGATACCTAGTTAAGAAGACTACGAACAAGTAATGTCTGTGATACCTATAACTGTATGTACTCCACCACACTACTAATCACGATGAGTCTGACATCACACGTAACGTAACACCTGCTTGTAAACAAGTAATGTCTGTGATACCTATAACTGTATGTACCACACTACTAATCACGATGAGTCTAACATCACACGTATCGTAACACCTGCTTGTTAACAAGTAATGTCTGTGATACCTATAACTGTATGTACTCCACCACACTACTAATCACGATGAGTTTAACATCACACGTATCGTAACACCTGCTTGTTAACAAGTAATCTGTTTAATACTTTATAAAACCAATTATACGGGAGCCAGAAATGACAATACCACAATTATAATTCTCTGTTATAATTCTTACAACTATTTTAATACACCGTTCACTTTGACCTACTACAATTAAAGCCTTTTTTTCAATAGATTTTGATTCTGTTTTTCAAAGCTAGCGAAACTAACAAACTGTGATTTGAAAATGTGTTTTACAAAGCCAACCGATCTGATATGATTTTGTCCAATTGATAACACACACAAATATAGGTCTGCTTAAACTCTCCAAATATTTGTTAAGCTCCTTAGCGCGGCTGTGGACATTTCCTTAGGCAGGCGACCAGGGAAGTGTAGGTCGGACTCTTTGTTACAGGGATGTGTATCCTGCCGGTGTATTGTCCCCAGATTAGGATAACTTTATAATTTCCTCCTTTGATGTCTATAAGCTTGTTTAACTCTACCTATATTACATGTTTTGTTAGGTCGTACGGCTTAACTTCAAATGTTTTACTCCAGCAAATAGGTGTCTTGGTCAGAAATACATCAAATTCGGATACCTTTATTCTATTTGTTGTTTTGTTGACATTTATCATACAGGAAATTTATCAAACAACTTTTAGATTTTGAATTATATCAACTCACTAAAAATGCTTATTGAAATAAACTCACTGTTAAACAAATATTGAGACTTCTGATTAAAGTTTTGCCGTTTGTCTATTGTTGACCCTAGAACTAAGTTTTACTTATCTCTACTGCTATTAATAACACAATCAGGATAATTTTACAGTATATTTACAAAAACATCAAAGTGTATATATCAGGAAAAACATATTCACACATGTACTATAATGAGACACACTGTGATGTGACATTTAGAAGAACGTGGTTGGCTTTTGTTTCAAGCTTCTCTGGCACCAGGATTATCGTCCGTGTCGCTGGAGAGCACTTTGGGGATTTGACTTGATGTTCCCTGTATGTCAATCCTCCGTGATTCTTGTCTGAGATTCAATTATTGCATCTCCCCCCGCCATTTATAGCCCGAGGTTCTGCCATTTCGTGTTTAACACACCACAAGAATGTCTACTATTCCCTGACAGGAATGTGTGTCTTCCATTGCATCCTTTAAAACTCTCAGACTTCAACAATACCCAAGCTTTTCCAACAGACATGTTCATCCTTCCATGTTGTACTCCAAAAATCATCAACTTCAAAAATGTCTACACCTTTGATAGCAATACCTACACCTTCTCTGATAGCAATATCTACACCTTCTCCAATAGCAATACCTACACCTTCTCAGATAGCAATACCTACACCTTCTCAGATAGCAATACCTACACCTTCTCCAATAGCAATATCTACAACTTCTCCGATAGCAATATCTACACCTTCTCCGATAGCAATACCTACACCTTGTCCGATAGCAATACCTACACCTTCTCTGATAGCAATACCTACACCTACCTACACCTTCTCTGATAGCAATACCTACACCTTCTCTGATAGCAATACCTATACCTACACCTTCTCTGATATCAATACCTACACCTTCTCTGATAGCAATATCTACACCTTCTCTGATAGCAATATCTACACCTTCTCCAATATCAATACCTACACCTTCTCTGATAGCAATACCTACACCTTCCTACACCTTCTCTGATAGCAATACCTACACCTTCCTACACCTTCTCTGATAGCAATACCTACCCCTACCTACACCTTCTCTGATAGCAATACCTACCCCTACCTACACCTTCTCTGATAGCAATACCTACACCTTCTCCAATAGCAATATCTACAACTTCTCCGATAGCAATATCTACACCTTCTCCGATAGCAATACCTACACCTTCTCCGATAGCAATACCTACACTTTCTCTGATAGCAATATCTACACCTTCTCTGATAGCAATACCTACACCTTCTTCAATAGCAATACCTACACCTTCTCCAAAGCAATACCTACACCTTCTCCAATAGCAATACCTACCCCTTCTCTGATAGCAATACCTACACCTTCTCTGAAAGCAATACCTATACCTACACCTTCTCTGATAGCAATACCTACACCTTCCTACACCTTCTCTGATAGCAATACCTACCCCTTCTCCGATAGCAATCCCTACACCTTCTCCGATAGCAATACCTACACTTTCTCTGATAGCAATATCTACCCCTTCTCTGATAGCAATATCTACACCTTCTCCAATAGCAATACCTACACCTTCTCCGATAGCAATACCTACACCTTGTCCGATAGCAATTCCTACACCTTCTCTGATAGCAATACCTACCCCTTCTCCGATAGCAATCCCTACACCTTCTCCGATAGCAATACCTACACCTTGTCCGATAGCAATCCCTACACCTTCTCTGATAGCAATACCTACACGTTCTCTGATAGCAATACCTATACCTACACCTTCTCCAATAGCAATACCTACCCCTTCTCCAATAGCAAGACCTACACCTTCTCCAATAGCAATACCTACACATTCTCCAATAGCAATACCTACACCTTCTCCAATAGCAATACCTACACCTTCAATGGCAAGAATGATTGCAGTTATTCTGGCAATTAACTTTCATGGCTGTGACCTAGGCCATACTATTTATTTAATACATGTTTGATATTATTTGCTACAAGATATTTTTGATATAGTCAAATTTCAACTGTTCTTTATCCAATATAAATGGTTAATTTCAATTCAACCTCCAAAAAGCATGCAAGCTTTGGGAGAGGGCCTAGTGTGTTGTAATAACTTTTGCCTAATCCCATAGATCATTGTGAATCGATTTAAACAGGAACACGCTTACCCTGTCAAAAGTCAGACATTTATCGTAATTATTAGCCGATGCACAGGAACAAGAATTCAGTCTCTACACTATTCCTGAGGAATAAAACTGACTTATTTTTTTTAATTATTTTAATAATCGTTACAACTACCTTTATTAACAAATGTGTTCACTTTACCTAGAATTCCCCGCCTTTGATATGAAATACCTTTAAATGTATGTAAACATTGAACAACACATTTCATTTATTGAGTAAACATTATAACTGAATTTTAATAAGAAGCACTGGTTCAAGTCAATTTCATTTACAGTATACATTATGTTTAGTGTGAATTCCCGGGCTGATCTAATTTGTAGGTGATTACATGCTTAGCGCAGCATCAGCGTCACAGATTGTATTGAAGACTGAAAATCAAACAGAATTGGACCCCGAGAGGGAGTGTATATCTACAGAGAGCGATGAATTGGTCGCCGACTTACAACGTTATCTCAAACCTACGCATGCTGGCTCAGAATATCACCTTTGTACAATCACAAGTAAACATGAAATCTTTTCAGCGTTTTGGAGAATCTACGATGCACAAGCTGGTCTTATACAGGTAATCACAACAGTGGCTCCCCCTTCAGTGTTATCTATACAGCACATGCAATGTGTACACAGAACTGTTACAACACACCGAGTCGAAATCTGTTCCCTAACATTTATACTGCACTAAAACTCCTATCTAACCATGAAATCATTAAAATACAAAGGAATGAAAACACACTTGACTTTTGATCTCTGCAGGAAACGCTCAATTTCTTCAACCTAAACCTCAATATTTACAAATTCCAGGACTTGTATTTAAATTGACGGTGGAGGCGACAATGTTCTGAGTTCTCTGATGTAATCGGTGACACTTGTCATATGGTATTTTAAAATCGTCACTTTTAACAGGTGCTCTGTTGGTTATTTCGTCAATAAATAGACTAGTTTACCATTATCAAAAACTGTTGATCAATACAGGGCAATAAAGAGTGTTTATGCACTAAAAAGATTCGCCTTACACTAAACAGTGAATTACTACCAAGTTCTACTTGTCTTCGGCCCATTTCACACTTGAAGAGTGTCATTCAATAAATACTGTTTCTCCAGGGGCACTCCTCTAGTCTTTATTCATAAAAAAGACAAAAGTCCATTTTATTTTAAATGAAACCACAATTGAAAATGTGTAAGGTATGTCATCACAAAATAACCTTCAATTGTACACCACCCTTTAACATGTCTGGTGAACAAAATAAGCTTGGATTCTACAATGTACCATTACATGTAGAAAGCCTTATTAACATGTCCTAATTGACATAATTCAGAGACTAAGAGACGTCATATTTAAATAATTTCTCAATCAACATGTCAGAATGCCATCTATGTAGTACTACCCTCGATCATCTTTTACAAGTATCATCCCAGTCGATAGCTATAATTCATTATCACTCAAAAGTTTAACAAAAATTTCATTGAATCTCATTTTTCAATGTTTTTCTTTCTAGGTTAAGCTTATAACTAATATTACACTTCTCAAAATTAATGTAGATTTAATTTCTTGTTAAGCGAAATTTAATTACCTTTACCGTACACCGTCAAATAACATATTTAAGAGGGCGTGGGGGCATGGTAGATAATGTGACAATTACCATTGCATCTTGGGTGTTATGTAAATTTTGCAAGTCATTGGACAAAAGCCATTCAAATCCCTAATGACCAAGATTGACCCTTCTATTGGCAATCTGTCAAATGGCAGAGAGAATCGACACCCGCCATTGACAAGATCATGATTGGTGACAAAAATGTAATATGACTGTCATAAATCCTGTAATTAGCGACCACACGACTACTCGGAGGCGTCTCGTCGTGAAAGGAACTATGTACGTCTTTATGGATAAGTTTGGGATACTCTTCATTTCTAAACAAGATAAACGTTTGCTGACATGCAAATTTACACTGTTCAACAAAGATGTACACCAGGCAGGCTAGACCTCTCCATGAATCAATGTTATACCTATAGGTATGTAAGTTAGACTTGGAGTCGAAGGGCTTCACTTTTGGGGCAAAAAATGAGATAAATATTCCTCAGGCTTTGTGTAAATGTCCCCATAAAAATGTTTGACACTTTTGTTAAATGAGAAAACATCACGTCAACCAAGATATAAATCTTGATTACAGATGTCAGTTGTATATATTGATACTTCATCGGAGTGGAATCAACTTTACATACCAGGAAGGTCATTTCTGTGTGAAGAAGTGTAAATATTGATGATGATTAAACTCTGTCAGAAACACACCACAGGTGTGAAGGTCCGATGGTATAACAGTCTGCATCGATGCTAGTCCACATTTTTAGACCTTCTGTATAACCTCAGACATTCTGTACAACACAACAGCTCTGTCCAGACTCTTAGCTGCACAATGTTAGACATTTTGTACAACAAATAAATATGAACTTTATTTATTTTGCAACAATTATGAAACAAGTTATTCAACTTATATTAATCACTCTTGTTGGCCCAGATGTAAGTGTGCGTAGGGTCTTAATGTGGTAGGAATCCGGAGTACCCAGGGAACACCCACGTGGTCGGGCAGGTGACCCCATACCTTTTCACGTCCGATCAAGGAATCAAACCCTGGTCACCTTTGTGAAAGGCAAAAGCGCTATCCACAGCACCACCGACAACCAACAAAGCATGCCATTCCAACTATTATGTGCACAGTTTAGAAATTCTGTACAACACAGCATTCCGTTACTACTCTTAGCTGCACATTTTAGACATTTTTGTCCAGCACAGCAATCTGCAGTGACTGTTCGCTGCACATCTTATGACATTCTGAAGTGACTGTTCAGATGATGCATGGTGTGTATAGTACAGGGTTCCTAGGTACACAACAGTCCCTAAAATGTCAAACATAGGAACAGCTGTGCATGCGTCACCACACTGTACCTAACTAGACCTATAGGTGTAAAAACATTAGATAGAAATATTTTACTCTATCATACCTACATGAAGCTATTTTTGACAGAACTTTACCATCCATTTCACCCCTATATACAGAGGCTCAGGCAGCAGGTGGTTGTTTGGTTCATTTTCATGTATCTCATGCACATGTTTTACTTACTATTGTATATTGATGAGACGATATCCGTTTAAAAATGAAAATTAAATGAAATTGACTTATTGTAGAATTCATGTAGTGTCACACAGCTGTCACAGTGATATTGCATAGTCTAATGAGAAAGAGACTGGTTATATGTACTGAATCTCTGTTTGATTTTGATCAGGTTCAGTTCAACCATCTACAGTAGAATAGACGGGGCCGAACCTGGATGGGAATTCTAACCTGCCATGTAGCTTCCCCCCTCTTACACAAATGTCACCCTGGTAAAATAACAGCCGCTTCCTCCTGACTCGGCTAGGGAGAATTTCTCTTTAGCTCATTCAGTAGAGCGTAAGACTAGTAAACCAGAGGTCCTGGGTTCGCCTCCTATCGGAGGCATTGAAAAAATAATAACCTCCAGATCTGTTACACAAAGATTACCTTGGAATTATCAAATGACTTTAGTCATGACTTGAACTCAACCACTTCGTGTTGGCATGGCCAACTAAGATCAGCTTGTTATGTTTTGGTTTAAGACGATCGAGTGTCATTTATCATGGCTTACTGACCATTCCGCTAGCTGACCATTCAAGTAGCCAATCGGGAACATTACCGACCCATCTGCCATCTTGTATCAATCAGTAGGGCCATCAATACGGGCTCAGACAATGCTTGAAGACTTCCAATGTACAATCGTCACCATGTTGCTTTTCACCATGCAATCTTTCTTGAGGAGATTACAGAGAAAGTTGGCTATTAAGTGCGTAGCCAAATGAGCTACACCATTACCTTGCCCAGCCCGAGAGGTGTGTATAAAGACCTCCCTCCCTGCACGGGAACAAACACCCATCATCAAAGTCGTGACAAATTACTGGTAAAGTCCTCCATTACCTCCTCACCTAATGGTTTGAGAAATGAGCAAATAAAGGTTTTAAATCAACTTCAAAGACAGAGTCTTGCTGGGATGTGTCAAATGGCCCTTTGCTCATCACAGAAAAGCATTGAATGTTTATCCACAATATCTTAAACAATTCAATCCCTCCTACATAA